CGTGGCTACAAAGTAGCTGTCTGGCTGCACTGCCTTTTTTTATTTTTCTAGGCATCGCCCGGGCGATGTTATGGCAGATATTACGAAGCCCATCTTGTCTGGAAAAATAACCCTGCGTTGATAAAAATGGTCTCAGAAAATGTTTAGAAAAAATAATGTTTCACGTTGACCAAATATAATCATGCATAAGTATAAATTCAAAGTGTTTTAATACATTGATGAGAGGTCGCATTTTACGTGAACAAGAACATGCACTAAGAAGGAAAAGCAAGCCAAAGTCGAAACGAGGTGCATTATGGACATGACACAACACACGCTGCAACAACTGAGTGATCAGCGACATCATTTTGGGACGTAATTGAACTTCAAGTACTTTTTTGCGAAACTTGTTGCACGGCGATGCTGACATCAAGTGTGTGTTGACTGAAGTTTGGCCCCAAGTCACGCACTGAACTAGCGCGTTACTTTAGCAACCCTTTTCTTTCATGCTCCGCGCGTCAGTCTAGTAAAATTGTTATTATATCCGAAGGTACTGTAATTACACAACTTGTATGCAACTCTGTACTGGCTTGAATATATCAACGTCGTTTACTTAGTGCACTGCTTTTCTAATTACGCAAATTTGTTTACAATATTGTACCGGCTCTGAATATTTCAACTTCGTAATGTATTGCTTTCATGATAATTAGTTTTTTTTAACTATTGTTAGGGCACTGACCCAGGGTATTGGGTATGTGAATATTTCAATATCACCGACTTGATAATTACGCAAACATAAACATACCAAACGTCAAATTAAATTTTACTATAATATAATGAACTCTGGACAGCGCACTTCAATCGCATTATTCATGTACATTTCGACTGAACTCTAATAACCACGCGTTGGAATTACATGCGGCATTGGACAATGACCTCCAGAGTTCATGCACTGATATTTAAATTCGGGCCATCCAGCTTGACGCAAATCAATATAGTTACTTGTCATTTGTTCAAAAAATCTTTCAACTCTCACAAATACCATGGACGCGAAAGAGTTAACTGGGGATTAAATGAAAGGGAACGTCTTTCTTGGACAAAAAACACGTCAGTACAAGATTATGTGTGCAAGGTTAGATTTATAGAAGGTACATGACCACTTAACTCTGTGTTTTTTACCGAATCCGGTATAATGAAAATGTGACACGAGGTCAATCGCCCGACCAATCAAAAATGTCAAATTTACGCACCTTAGGGCGGTTCACTTAAATGACGTAATAGAATAATGGTGGACACATGGTCGATGCAACCCTGTGGACCAGCGATGAAAAAGCCCTGTACTAAGCTTTCTATCACGGAAATTCGTAATTGATGTGCTGACCGATGGATATTTATCGACTATGTAGTAATCTTGCCCAACATCTGTAGTGTCGAGGGGGAATGGTTTTTTTCAGGTCAAATCTTTATCGAACCTAAACTGCTTGCTAACTGAAAGGCTATGCTGATGGAGATTATCTGCGATTGCAGCTACACCAAGTACTGAGAACATAAAAACTCAAATAAAATGTATATTTTTAATGTCTTCATGCAATATATTCTGAGTTATCTACTTTATTCTGGCCCGCGAATTAGTAGGATACAATTTTAAACATGTTTTTGAACGCTGCGAATTAAAAGGATACATTTAAAAATTAGCATTCGAAAATAAAATGGGTGCGCGAACTAATAGAGACCGCAAATGAATCAAGTTTTTACGGTATGTTAGGTGGACTCAGATGGTTATAACAATTTAAAATAACACTTTGAATGCATATACAACATATAACCTGTCAATATATGGTAACCAACGCGTGTCGTTTTGAAATCAGCGTTTTACCCGCATCTTGCAAGATAATGGAAGGATTCCAATTGAGGGTGTGCCAATACAATGGCACCATCCAGTCTAGATTGGACAAATACCCAAGTGTTTTGCAAAGTTGAAAGATATATTGCTAACTGACTGTCCGAATAATTCTCAGAACTGCTGTAAGAGCTATGCACACAATAGATGGAATCAAAATAAATATTTTAATATTAATTCTTTTTCCCTTGTCTCATTTCTGTAGTAAAATGGCGATTCAAGTCACAAGAGATAGCTTACCCAAGCTGATAACGCATCTAAAGAAATGGACACCAGACTGCTACGCACAGTATTGGCTTATAAAAAATAGTGTTTTAACACAGAACAAATGGCCAATTATTGACGTGTATATCGACACTGAAAACGTCCAGCAAAGTACAACCATTCTAATTGTGATGAAGGATTATCGATACCCACCGATAACGAAAGAGTACTTTGTATTCTCTAAAGACAACAAGAGACTTAAAACACTATTGAGAACTAACGGACTCATTGACTGGGAACAAGAAAAGGTGTTTTTCAATGCTGTACCATATTACAACCGAGATGTTGTCATGGAAACGTGTGTTGCACAAGGCTTTCAGAAAGTCCCAATATTTCTTTATGAAGGAGCTACAATGCTTCTTAAAGTTGGTTATATAATCAGAGCATTGGCACAATCTCCCCTCCCTGATGGTTTCACGATGGGCCACCTGACTCCCGAGCATGCTGCAATTTTGGAGGAACGATGGTTTCACCCTCCAGCTCCTACGCCAGCGTATGCAAAACGGCTTAAGTATTGTCCTTCCTTGGCGGTTTTTGATCGAAACCATCAGCCAGTTGCATGGGTTATGGAGAAAGAGTTTGGTGATATTGGAAACAGTTACTGTGAACCAGCCTATCGAAAGATGGGATTGATTAAAATAATTTCTGCAAAGTTGATAATGCAAATAGCTGTACGCGGTGATGTCCCTTTCTGCTGGGTTTCGGCTGAAGCACAGAAGAATCAGAAAAACAAAGTTGGATACAAGATATGCGAAAATTTGATATCATATTGGCAAATGTTTGAGAAAACAAAAGCAAATCTTTAAACAAGCCATCTGTTGGCTGATATAGCTCCGCTGTTTTACAATGCATACTGTACATATAAGTATGGAAGAAGTTGGATTGAAAATCATCTTAAATTGAACAATGCAAATATTAATACAATCAGGCAGGCAGATTCCAGTAAAAAGTTGAAAATATCATGACAACTGCAATATTCACTAAAGTCAGAATTGAAAGTAATATCGTGAAATAAACCACAATGTACCCACATATATAATATTTTTTTCACTAAAAATGACAAAAACATTAACTAAAGTTAAAGAAAATTATCATTTATAGAATTATAGAAGTTATTAACATGAAATAAAACATAAGGCCACTGAAGGTGGTAACAAAGAAGTGTGATTCTCTGTTCATTGTGAGATCTTGCGTATGGCATGAAAGGTGTGGTGGACTGAACATCTGCCCCAAAAATCAACGATTTGATTTTGAACTTGAATATTGTTTTTTATAGCTCAATGTTATTTTTGAGAGGGGAACATTTCATTTATTAAGCATAGAAATATAAACAAAATATTGTGTTTGTTGAATCCCACGCGATATTTGACATCATTACAATGCTATGACCTTTGTTTTGACGTTCAAATTCACATTATATTATAGCATTAATAATTTCAGCGAATTTTATGACATCATTGTCACATACTGTACAATACTTTATTTTCGCTTGGAATTTATTTTCGCTATTTTCGCTGAAGGGATGATTCCGTGAAAATAAAATCCAGCAAATATACTTTTTTTCCTATATTTCACATTAAACTCATAAAAAATCAGTGAAAATAAATTCCATACAAAATGCCCAAAAAGCCTTTTCAGCGAAAATTAATTCCAGCGAAAGTAAAGTATTCCACAGTATTATTCCCAATAATGTATCCCATTATTGAGCATCAAGGCCCTGTACCATGCATAGGAATAGAATGTTGAGTTCGGAAAACGAATAAAAAGACGAGCATTTAATAATAAGGGAAATTATGGGGTGAAAATGATTAAAATCAAAACTGACAATGAATAACTCTGAGCTATATGAAAAATTATTATTTGTTTTTAGTTTACATGAAAAATGTCAATCCCGCCATAACAACAAACACAAATTGTCGTCTGGCCAATCCCAACTTCGCGAGAAACACCTGGTACTGACGCCCAACGCGTAAACAAACATAGCTCACCAAAGGCAAACACGATGGCCCGTTTTATCTATGGCGACGAATCCAAGTTAAACATGCTCGAAAATGCAAGAAATGAAAAAAATACTTCACAGCAGACTAAATGGGGAGTACATGTTTTCTCCCTAGTAAGGCTTGAACACAAGGGGCATGCGCTGCCAATTTTGAAGATCTTCCTGAGCTCGCTGACTTGCTGCAGAAATTTTACGCTCCAGCTCGCAAGCAAGTAGGATAGGGAGTTCCAAGTTTGTCTATTTTCTGTATACGTGTTATGTTGAAATGACCGTTGCACACTGTATTGTGCTTGCGAGTGTGAATGGGAATCGTTGCGTGAACGCTTTGACGTTACATACAGTATACAGATTACAAGGCCCATATAATGTAGACGCGATTCTGTTGAATGTTTTCGGTCGTTTCTTCCAAATTATCTTAGTTTTAACGTGTGGAAATTCACTGGCATTGCCAATGCAACAAAATAATAACAATAATGTACTCCCTGGTGGCTCATAATGAACTCAAGCACACTCCATAATGTGCTTGGCATGTTGAGCCACCGGAGAGCATATTATTGTTTAAATAGTCAATAAAAAAAAAGACTACTGGAAAGTTTGTTTTTAAATAGTCTTTTATATAAAAAGTTGATGAGGAACATGGGACGGATAATTACCTAGATGAAAAGCTCTGCACATACATGTACAATTTTTTTTTTTTTTGGAAAGCATGACATCCAATAAAAGCAGTGAACAATGTCATCTATTTACCTTCGGACACCGACAGTTGATTCCATATATGGTTATTGAATCATGGTGACCTATGAACCTAGCATAAGGTACAACATTTTCCAGTAATAACAAATCAACTTTTCCAATTACCTTGTGTATGGCATCAAAAAACGGTGTGAAAATATCAGTGTCATAATTTGACATTTTCCCCTGTAAAACCGAGATTACCCTCTCTAGTCCCATTCCACAGTCAATGTTTTTTTTCGGTAATGGTCGTATCGAGCCATCAGGCTCTCTGTTGAGAGAAAAAAAATATGGTACAATTTTCAAAATTTGCGTTTCCAAAAATTTATTTTAAAGCACGAAGGCAGAATAGTATTTTTTTTTTTAATTTAGGCCACACTGATTTAATTTTATGGATGACATCCTCTGAAGACCCCAAAACTAATGCGAGAGGACGAAAAAAAAAAAATTCGGTCAAAAAAAAAAATGCTGCTAAAACCACAGGACTACGGAGCTATTATTACGAATTTAACCACAGTGTATCAAAAAACAAAACAAGTCTTTATTTGTAGGAGGCACATGTTGATGTACACATTTCGTACTGTATTACTGTCATCACCTTTGATTTTGAAAAGGCAAGAGGATAAGGCAGATGTTAGCTTTGCCAAAGGCATACACATCAACTCAATAATAAAGAAAAACTTACTGTGTTGTATTGAAAAAAAAAAATAATTAAAAATGAACAACAAGTTTGTCAACAGCAACCTGGAAATTAACTTCTTTGACATTCAAACTACAGCTTTTAAAGTGACACTTCAGAT